GATTAGCAAGATTGCTTAACAGGAAAGAGGAATAGCTCAGAGTTAATTTTTCCTTCCTAGATGGTGAAAACTATGGATGAGTCTATGCATTATAATGAGATAATAAAACATGATGAAGTAAACGGTAGACTGAGTCAAGAGATCCTATGGCCAAGATTTGATGGAAATGAAAGTGGGCAGCACTGACTGAGACACTAAAAGTTTGCACAGGCAGGGAACCTGAGTGGTTCAGTCAGTTGAGCCTCAACCACTCAGGTCATGATCCCAGGATCATGGGACCAAGAACCCTGTCAGCCTCCACACTAAGTGTGAAGCCTGCTAAAAATTCTCCTTTCTCTCTCTCTCTCTCTCTCTCTCTCTCTCTCTCTCTCCCCACACACCCCCTAGTCCTGCTTGTGCATGTTCTACAAATATATATAAATATAAATAAATAAATAAATAAATAAGTGTCTGAACACACTAAAGAAACAGCATTTTATCTTTTTGAGCCTGACTTCACATTGAGTCATGGGGTCAGCAAGGCATAGGCTGGCAAAAGGGTCCTTCAAGAAGCAAAAATCTCTATAGGAGAAAAGTTAAGTTCTACTACATTGACTTTTTATTATTACACAAGTGACTGGTAATTTGCAAGATAACTAGGAAAAAGTTTTCATAAAATTTGATGTGGTACTGGCATAAGGACAGACATATAGACCAATGTATTAACATTGATAATCTAAACATAAACTCTCACGTTATAGTGAACTGATTTTCCACAAGGGTGCCAGACAATTAAATGGAATAAGAATAGTCTTTGTAACAAACGGTACTGGGACAAATGGATATCCACATGCAAAGTAATAAAATCAGACTTCTACCCCATAGCATATATACAAAATTAACTTAAAATCTAAGAGCTAAAATGATAAAACTCTTACAAAAAAGCTTACGTGTATATGTTTGTGACTGGATTTGGCAATGATTTCTTAGACATGACACCAAAAGACAAAAGAAGATTAAGTTTACTTCATCAAGATTAAAAAATACTATGCTTCAAGTATCACCATCAAGAAAGTGAAAAGGCAAGTGACTAAATAGGAGAAAATACCTGAAAATCCCATATCTGCTAAGGGATTTGTATGTAGGATATTTAAATAACTCTTCCAATAATGAAAAGACAATCCAATAGAAAAACGGGCAAAACAATGGATTAGTTCTTTAAAGACGATACAGAAATGTATAATAATCACGTTCAAAGGGAGATGTTCGGGGTGCCTGGGTGGCTCAGTTAAGCTTCTGACTTGGGCTCAGGTCACGATCTCACGGTTTTTGGGTTCGAGCCCCGCATCAGGCTCTGTGCTGACAGCTGGGAGCCTGGAGCCTGTTTCAGATTCTGTGTCTCCCTCTCTCTCTGTCCCTCCCCTGCTCACACTGTCTCTCTCAAAAATAAAAGAGACATGTTCAACAGAATTAGTTCTAAGAAAATGCAAACCAAACCCACAAGATGCCATTTCATACCCACTAGAATTGCTATCATAAAAGTAACAGATAATGACAAATATTGGCAAGAATCAGGAAAATGGGTACTCTCAAAAACTGCTGATGAAAATGTAATGTTGCTGCCATTTTGGAAACAGTCTGGCAGTTCCTCAAAAGGTTAAACTAGAAAAACAACTGTTCTAAACTTATTTGAGAGAGAGTGCACAAGTGGGGTAGAGGAAGAGAGGAGAGGGAGGGAGAGAATCCCAAGCAGGCTCCATGCTCAGAGCAGAGCCCAATGTAGTGCTTGATTCCACAACCCTGAGATCATGACCTGAGCTGAAATCAAGAGCCGGCCACGCAACTGGCTGAGCCACCCAGGTGCCTGCCCCTTCTCAAAAGGTTGAAAAAACAAAAACAAACAGAAAAGTTTATTTAACAGAGTTACCATATGAACCAGCAACTGTATTTATAGGTATATACCCCAGAGAAATCAAAGCATGTTCACATAAAAAGTTGTTCATTACACAAAAAATAACCTCAAAATGGATGAAAAACCTCAATGGAAGACAGGAAGCTATCAAAATCCTCGAGGAGAAAGCAGGCAAAACCCTCTTTGATCTTGCCTGCAGCAGCATCTTATTCAAAACGTCTCCGAAGGCAAGGGAAACAAAGGAAAAAATGTACTAGGGGGACCTCATTAAAATAAAAAGCTTGTGCACAGCGAAGGAAACAATCAAAACTAAAAGGCAACCTACAGAATGGGAGAAGGTATTTGCAAATAACATATCAGATAAAGGGTTAGTATCCAAAATCTACAAAGAACTTCTCAAACTCAACACCCAGAACACAAGTCATCCAGTGAAGTAATGGGCAAAAGACATGAATAGACACTGCTCCAAAGACATCCAGATGGCCATACAAATCAAAACCACACTGAGATACCACCTAGCGCCTGTCAGAATGGCTCACATTAACAACTCAGGCAACAACAGATGTTGGCGAGGATGCAGAGAAGAGGATTTCTTTTCCATTGCTGGTGGCAATGCAAGCTGGTGCAGCCATTCTGGAAAACAGTATGGAGTTTCCTCAAAAAACTAAAAATAGACCTACCCTACGACCCAGCAATTGCACTATTAGGCATTTATGCAAGGGATACAGGTGTGCTGTTTCGAAGGGACACATGCACCGCCATGTTTATAGCAGCACTCTCAACAATAGCCACAGTATGCAAAGAGCCCAACTGTCCACCGATGGATGAATGGATAAAGAAGGTGTGGTATGGGGCGCCTGGGTGGCTCAGTTGGTTAAGCGGCCGACTTTGGCTCACGTCATTTGATCTCATGGTCCGTGAGTTCAAGCCCCGCGTCGGATTGTGTGCTGACAGCTCAGAGCCTGGAGCCTGTTTCAGATTCTGTGTCTCCCTCTCTCTGACCCTCCGCTGTTCACGCTCTGTCTCTTCTTGTCTCAGAAATGATTAAAACGTTAAAAAAAATTTAAAAAAAGATGGGGTATATATATATTCCACGGATTATTACTCAGCAATCAAAAAGAATGAAATCTTTCCATTTGCAACTACGTGGATGGAACTGGAGGGTGTTATGCTAAGTGAAATTAGTCGGAGAAAGACAAAAATTATATGAATTCCCTCGTATGAGGACTTTAAGAGACAAAACAGATGAACAAAAGGGAAGGGGAACAAAAATAATATAAAAACAGGGAGGAAGACAAACACAGGAGACTCATAGAGAACAAACTGAAGGTTGCTGGAGGGATTGTGGGAGGGGGGATTGCTAAATGTGTAAGGGGCATTAAGGAATCTATTCCTGAAATCATTGCTTCACTAAATGCTAACTAATTTGGATACAAATTTGAAAAAATAAAAACTAAAGATACAACAAGAAGAATAACGCCCCGCGCACCACCAAAAAATTTCTCAACCAAGGAAGCCTCTGGTTTGGGATTCAGGAGATAAGGACCTTCTAGAGAAGTCAGAGCTATGGACTGAGTTGGCTGAAAGCTATCTAAGTTTTTGTTTCACAAGAAAGACCTTAAAGTGGCAGAAAATTTCATGCCATAACCCTAATTCCTTTCTATAGGGATCTACAGAAAATCCCTCGTTATTCTTTAATAAGCTTCCTCAGTTTTGGATATCTTACAAATTTTAGTTTTTGAGACCTTAATGATTTCTTTAGGACATAGCAGCAGGACAACGCCTAGCACTCTCCTTCATAGAAGACTGATCAACAGATTGTCATGTTACTCGCATGAAAAGTTCCCTAATACAATGTGACTTATTAGACCTCTAGAAAAGAAAACAATTTTCAATGTCTCTTCGGCCACAAAAAGGACAAGTCAACAGAATGTTCTAGTTCCCCTGACGTGTATAGCTCTAATGAAACTTGTATGTATATTATATAGCTTGTGTGACTGACGGAAACGAGTTGGTCAGTGTATTTACCTCATTGCTCCCACTTAGGATTTACAGAGTGATTCCTACAAAGAAGGGTGAGAGTGGGATGACATTAACTGTTCCGCTTGGAAAACAGTTGGGGTTTCACTACATATCAATAAATTAGAATCCTGAATGGCACATTAGTCTTTTCTGAGATTGAATTGTGAAATCTCTGAAAGGCTGATTAACTCAAGTGAGTGAAAACTCTGAACTTGCAATGGTAGGAGCACTATGTTACTAGGTAAGGCCCTGAGTGAGCACACATTTCTAAATTTTTACTGGCATTTCTTTTCCTTTACAAATCCAAAAAGTCCATTCCTTTGAGAAGGACATTTGCATAACGACCTGCTAGTCATTCTTGATGAAGACAATAAATTGCAAACGTGTAATTACGAATTACAACTAATCATCATTGACATAACCCTTTCTCAAACTCTCACTGAAGGGTTGAGACTACAAGAGAAAGTCAAATTTCAAGATGAAATGATCACTCAAAGTGTGTGGAAGTTTGAAACATGTTGAAAAATATTAGCAGGGACTCACACATCTGTATGCCAACGTTCACAGCAGCATTATATACAGTAACCAAAAGGAGGACTAAACCAAATGCTCATTGTAGTATACATAAAATGTTGCTTTTATTAAATTCTCACAATATTTTTATTTAAATCTCACTACAGGGGCGCCTGGGTGGCGCAGTCGGTTAAGCGTCCGACTTCAACCAGGTCACGGTCTCACGGTCCGTGAGTTCGAGCCCCGCGTCGGGCTCTGGGCTGATGGCTCAGAGCCTGGAGCCTGTTTCCGATTCTGTGTCTCCCTCTCTCTCTGCCCCTCGCCCGTTCATGCTCTGTCTCTCTCTGTCCCAAAAATAAATAAACGTTGAAAAAAAAATTAAAAAAAAAAAAAATAAATCTCACTACAAACAATGCTTTATGAATTCAATCAGCTTCATCTCTATAGAAGAATTACATCACTAGTAGCAAGGAGGAACAATATCAACCAAATATTTTGGTCAGTGAGATTTTCCATATGATTAGTGAAATAAGGATTCCTTTTCAGTAGGACAGGCATTAAGAGATCGACTTACCAATCTTGCCTTTAGCATGTTGCTCTGAAGATCTTGAATTTGGGCCGCTTGATGTTTGATGGTTTCTTCTTGCCTGGCATTTTTAACCTTTAGCCTAAAATGCAGATCTTAAGATAATTTTTCTCACACATAATTTTAAAACAGTACCGTGTAATTTCTCAACAAATGAAGGTATTTCAGAAATTCTTAAAATTGTATCAAGAGGAAGTTTTGGGAATCGTGCCAATTTTCTCGTGTTTTGTGGTAATGGTGCAGAATTCAGAGATAAGATGCCAAAATTTTGCATTTCAAAATAGGTCAAAGCTGGAATTTGTATCCAGCTTAACAATGATATACTGGCATAATTCATACATTTCTCATACTACACTGTTTATTTGATTTATAAATAAACGAGTTATTTTCTGTGAGGTTTAAATTCTACTTTTGCATATGATCTTTCATCTCCTCGGCATATCTTATAGCCTCTCCGTGTCGTTCCTGTTCTTGCAACTAAAATAAAGAAAAAATTACTTTAACTACTGAAAATCTAGTAGAACACCATCACCTGTTTCTACTAAATGTTTTTTTTGACTTGAGAGAGAGAGAGCATGCAGAAGTGGGCAAGAGAGACAGAGGGAGAGACAGAGAAAATGGTAAGCAGCCTGCAAGCTCAGGGCGAAGCCTGATGTGGGGCTCGGTCTCATGACTGGTCTCATGATGTGGGGTTTGGGATCATGACCTGAGTGGAAATTAAGTCAGGATGCTCAACCAACTAAGCCGCCCAAGCGCCCCTGTAAGTAAAATCTTTTTGGAGCCAGCCACACTCTCCTCTACATGCTGATTGATAGCTACTTTTGGTAATAACAAAAGAATTCAGCTTCTACAACAGAGACTACGGCCTATAAAGACGAAATATTTCAATACTCTTACAGAATAGTTTACCAACCCTATTCTCCTACAAGAGCATAACACTGTTAATGTTTTTAAATTATATATGATCAGATAAATGTAAAAATGTATCTATAGGTCAAATGGAGTAAATATAGGAATTTACCTTATGGTAAACATTTCTATGTTCATATTCCAACTACGATTTTACATATTCACATAGGTGAATGACGTTGCTATTCTCATGATTAGAAAACTGAACATGCTGTTTTCAGTGACAAGATATTTCATGGAAGAATTTGAGAAGCAATATCCTAGTAGGGGCCAGAGCGCCTGGGTCTGAATTCCCAGTTCTGCTCTTTATGAGCTGTATGACCTTGAGCACACTACCTAAAACTTCCGTGTCTCAGTCTCTGCATCTGTAAACTGAAGGTAATAATAGCACTTACTGGGGCAACTGAGTGGCTCAGTTGGTTCATTGTCTGGCTTTTGATTTCAGCTCAGGACATGATCTCAGGGTCATGTACTTGAGCCCCACATCGAGCGCGCCATGGACAGCGAGTAGCCTGCTTGGGATTCTCTCTTCCCTCTCTCTCTCTCTCCCTTTTTCTCTCTCTCTCCTTACATGCCCTTACCCACAATCTCTCTCTCAAAACAAAGGACCTTAAAACAGTGATCTCAAAATAAATACTAGTATCTACCCCACTGGGATGTTGGGAAGATTAAATTAGGAAATAACAGATGAACAACTTAAAAGGGTAGGTGGCACGTTGTCAGCTCTAAGTGTCTGCATGTAGCATGATTACTCTTGCTGTAGTTTGCGTTCCAATACAATGTGATAGTTTAGGCAGGTGGCCTGCCAATACAAGTTTTCCCCTGTACAAATTTTACTGATGTTATTCTTCATTCCACCGCAAGTGGCAGTAAATGGGGAGTATGAGGCCCAGAATCTCTCCTTAGTAGTTCAAACAACTTTGCCAGTGCCACTAGCCAACAGTATTTTTTCCACTTACAATCCTTTTAACTTCCTCTCCATACCACTCAGTGGACAATGCTCACAGACTACGATACAAATAGCACCCACTTGACTGAGTAGTAGATCCTTTACATGACCATCAGAGATAAGGGAAAGCCACTGACATGGAAATAATCGAGTCTTGCTAAATTTCCTTAATTATTTCATGTCCATACTGTTTATGTTAGGCTGCTTTAGCATGTAATCTGATGAAGAGATTAAGGCTTTGTGGTTACAGCATATCAGAAAAGCTGTCCCCAGATATTTGCAGTCGGTAAAGTGCTATAAATCTGTAAATCCCTGTCCTGGCTGTGTTTGGAAGAAAGAAAATTTAGCGTGCTTTATCATAGTGAGAGGGAAACAAAAACTAAACATTTGATTGAACGTTTCTTTTCTATTTGATAAAGTACTTTCATTAATAGTTTTACTTATGTAAGTTTTTGTGTGTTTATAGAGATATACCCACATTTTTTTAACCTTTATTTTTTGATACAGACTACGAGTCTGAGTGGAGCAGAACGTAAGGGACACAACGGATCCAACGCAGGTTCTGCTGACAGCAGAAAGCCCAATGCAGGGCTCCATCTCAAGAACGTGGAGATCATGACCTGAGCCAAAGGCAGACTCTGATTCGACTGGAGCCAGTCACCCCTCAATTTAGTATTTCATTTCTTAGCATATATTTACAAAAAAATCTTTGTTATACCAAAGTTTCCAAGAAGAATTTATTGATATGGTATAAAGCACTTAATTTTATTGGAAAAACTGTTAAGTTAAAATATTTTCAATTTATACAAGGATAAGTACCACACATATCAAATATTATTATCCCTTAAATTTATACTTAGGAAGACAAAATTACCTGTCATGAAAAAAATAAAAACAATGTCAAATAAAGGACTAAATTGTTCTGCACAGGCTAGATGACAAGTCTCAAGAGAGTTAAAGCTAATGGGAGTTAGAACAGTCAGAGAAAGTTCATTGGAAAGGAGACTGTGAGCCAAGTCTGAATAACATAGGTTTACTCAAGAGGAACAGAAACTAAAAAGACAGTAAGGACAGCATGAGTAACGGCTGAGAGATGGTGAAATCAGCACAATTAACTCGCAGGATAAATCTGACAGCAGAGACATTGAAAACGGTTGTCCACACAAGAACTACGTGAATGTTCATAAGCAGCAGTATTAATAGGCAAGAAGTGGACACAACCCAAAGGTCCATCAACTGATGAATGAACAAGGTCCTTAGCCCACAATGGAGTACTGTTTGACAATAAAAAGAAATGAAGCACTGATATAAGCTGTAAACAACCAGATGAACCCAGAAAACATTAAATGAAGCTAGCTAGTCCCAAGGGACCACACGTTGTGTGACTCCATTTATATGAAATATTCACAAGAGGCAACTCCACTGAGAGACCAAGTAGTAGACTGGTGGTTGCCTGAGGCTGGGGGCAATGGGTAAGGGTTTCCTTTCAGGGTGAGGAAAACATTCTACTTGATGGAAGTGATGGTTGCACGAGTGTACACAGAGACAGTGAACTGTGCGTGGCAAATGGGTGATTTTTATGGTATGTGTATTTTACCTCAAAAATGCTTTAAAAAACCCAATGGCAGGACACAGTGTTCTTAATTCTCGCTTTTGGGCCTCCATACTATACATGATCTGAATATTTCCGTGCTTTGACAATATGTCTAAAAGAAAATGAAGGAAATGCCTAAGTTCAAGTGGTTTGTTAAGTGATCTTTCTGTACAAGTCATCCTGAAATCAATACATATTCTTCCCAAAAGTGAAGATGAGAACTAAGACAGTTATCTGAAACATTCCATTAAACATTATCTTCTGATTTGATCTAGCTCGCCTCATCATGGTAATAGAGATATTGTTAAAAAGTATTGTTTAGTAGGGGACAAAAGTCTCTTGGGGCACCTTGGCCGCTACATCAGTTAAGCATCCAATTGTTCTTTCAGCTCAGGTCATGATCTCACGGTTCATGAGACTGAGCCTCACATTGGCTCTACACTGACAGCATGGAGCCTGCTTGGCAATCTCTCTCTCTCCTCTCTCTGCCCCTCCCCTGTTAACATGCATGCACACACTCTCACTCTCTCTCAAAATAAATTAAAAAACTGAAAAAAATTTAAATTAAAGAACGAAAGAAGTCTCTCAATTTCTGTGAGGAAGGATAAAAAAGCCTCAACTTTCTTTTTTTTTTTTTAATTTTTTTTCAACGTTTATTTATTTTTTGGGACAGAGAGAGACAGAGCATGAATGGGGGAGGGGCAGAGAGAGAGAGACACAGAATCAGAAACAGGCTCCAGGCTCTGAGCCATCAGCCCAGAGCCTGACGCGGGGCTCGAACTCACGGACCATGAGATCATGACCTGGCTGAAGTCAGATGCTTAACCGACTGTGCCACCCAGGCTCCCCAAGCCTCAACTTTCTTAAGAGTATAATAAGAAAACAATGTATAACACAAATAGTAGAAGGGAAGGGAGAGTTTATGAAATAAATGCATTGTAAAGATACTAAAATCATAATAAATTAATTATAATGAAAATACCAAAGAAAGCGGTCCATGGACATTAGTATCCTAAAACACTTTATATTATTTAACCACCTATAAGTTAGCTGTTTACAGGTTACATTTATTACATACCTGATTTCTGATTTGACCGAATTTCTTGTTGAGATCCTGTGTTTCATCTTCCAGAAGAAGATGTGACATAACCTCTGGGGAAGCCTCCGACATAGACTGTTTTTTCAGAGTATCAGCCAGTTCTTGTTGAAGTTGTCTCACAACTACCTAATAAGACATTTCTTTACTGATTTTCTAAATCCTCTTATTAAATTATGTTAATAATAGACAACTCTCAGATACATACTTTGAGAAATATCAACACATACATCAATTCACCGTCTTTTTGTAAAACACACATTCCTGTTCACTGAATTCAGTTAAAGACACAAAAGGTGTTATCTGATTCTGATAACACTTTTATCTGATTTTTTATGGTGTCTGTCTCTGGTCTTAACATGACAATTTCATCCTGCAACATGTGTTTTTTATGCAAACGATCTTGTGTTTTCTCATGATTATCAGAACTCTAAGTAAAACAAAGCACATTTTCAGATACCACTCAAAATGGCATTATCATGATTTTCTTTGAAATGAAGGTATAATCTATGTTTAAACAATGAAAAGTTTGCAGGGCGTGCCAGGGTGTTTCAGTTGGTTGTGACTGACTCTTGATTTTGGCTCAGGGAATGATCTCACATTCTGTGGGTTTCAAGCCCTGCATCAGGCTCTGTGCTGACAGTCAGGAGCCTGCTCAGAATTCTCGCTCTCCCTCTCCCTGTCCCTCCCCTGCTTGTATTCTCTGTCTCTCTCTAATGAATAAAGAAACATAAAAAGAAGGAAGGAAGGAAGGAAGGAAGGAAGGAAGGAAGGAAGGAAGGAAGATTACAGTAAGTGAATATCCAACTGGAAAAAAATAACGTTGGCTCCAAATCTCAAATTTTATACAAGCATAAGTTCCCAAAAGTTCAGAACTTTAACTGAAGATAATGAAGGCATGAAAGTAAAAAAGAATTTGTGAGAAAAGTGTTCAGAATCTCAGAATTGGAAAGCCTTTCTCTGATTTACAACAAACCAGAAGGTTTTATTTTATAAAAGATTAATAAATCTGATTACACTTAAATATTGAGTTTATGGTATATATCGAACACAGGTACCCCACAGTAAAATCCTTAGCTCTGCGTATACTCGGACAGATTAAATTTCCTAAAATTCTTCTTTCCTGAGAATATTTCAGAGATATCTACTTTGCTACCATTTCTATAGTCAGTTATAAGAATTATATCTATTGATAACTGAAAAATCTAGGCACTGTAGTATAATACAAACACTTCTACATACGTCAATGAACTCATTTGGTTATCACAATTCTAGAATGGAGAGATTAAAACAGTGAGCTGCAGGACTCTCCCCAGGTCTTCTCACTCCACAACTAGTGCTCTTGCACCAACCACTGCCACTTCTCTAGTGTAAATACACAAGTACGAAAGAAGTCTTGTATTTCAAACTACTCATAGGAAATAAGGTGAAATTTATACATCTCTTAGAAAATCATGAGAGGATTTACTGCTGCAATACCTTGTATTTCCTCTTCATGTTGAAAACAGTAATAAATACAAAAGTGGGGAAATACACTCAACCATTTTATTAGGAATAAAATACCTATCAATATATTATCATTAAGTATATGCCACAGCATACCATTGTTATCAAAAGTTGCTTGTAATGAAATAGGATGCTACTTGAAGCAAAACTGTTACTTTTCTCAAAAGTAGGAGACTTGATGCCGAAAATATGACCAGTGAACTGGCTACACTCGTCCTCCTGTCCATTAGCGGAAGTGTTCAACTAACCTAGTAATATATCAAGGCAGTGAAGTAACTGTTCAAACCAAAACACATATTGCCAGTAGAAATAGTTTTCAGATTAGGGAAAGCTCATCAATGCCTAAAGAAAGTAATAAAAGCCTTTCCTTTGGATGAGGACATTATGAATGTCACTAGTTGTTGCAGATAAATGCATTTAATCAAGACTATTATTTTATCCAGTGAAGCAAAAATGCCACCGTCCCCCATGCCCCTCCGCAAAATATATGTGCTTTTAAAATCCTCTATACTTTCCATGATGAACAGAGTTCAGTTTCATATATACATATATATATATTTATACACACACACGGAGAAAAAAGTAATAATAACTAAAAAATAGAATGTATACAAATACATACACACATGTACTTCAAAATAACTAAAGAAGATACCTTAGAATTAGTTTTCTTATGAGCCATTTCTAGCTCCTTTTGCTTGTAAAGGTGATTGTTTAGATTTCCATCTTGTAAGACTCTGGCCTTCTGATCTGGAGAAAGTTGTCACTGAGTGTCACTGTGCTCTTCTACAACCTGGAGACACATTTCATTATGATTCTGGTCTCATACCGTTAAAAAAAAAAGGTCAAAAACTGAAGAGGAGAACTTTAAAAAAATGCTCAAAAGAACATGATCCCATGTTTGAATTTATTTTAAGCCTAAATAATATATATTGAGTCAAAGGGATACTATAAAATATATATGTATTGCACTATGTAATATTGATGGAAATACAGTTTTTATCAAAAACTGATTTACCTGATTTTTTTTGTGGCCTTCAATTCCATGTTTAGCGTTCTAAGAGCGAGTTCAAGTTGTTTTGTTTCAACTTCTTTCTTATATTCGTCTTCGTTTCTTCTTAACTTTTCCCTGATATTTTCATATAACATATCAGCATTTCTTCTTTCTTCTTCTTTTTCTTGTTTTAAGGTACATCTGCAATTACATGTGCATCTTTTATTTTTTTTAATTCCTTTTTTAACATTTATTTATTTTTGAGACACAGAGAGAGAGAGAGCATGAACGGGGGAGGCACAGAGTGAGAGGGAGACACAGAACCGGAAGCAGGCTCCAGGCTCTGAGCCATCAGCCCAGAGCCCGACGTGGGACTCGAACTCATGGACCCCGAGATCGTGACCTGAGCTGAAGTCGGACGCTCGACCTACTGAGCCACCCAGGCGCCCCTACATGTGCTTCTTTTAAAATTTGTTTTGTTAGACATAAAAAGTTCATTTTATGATCTGGTTCCACATCAGTTGGCTTATTATCCAAATGAAAAATTTCTATGTTCTCCAATTGTTTTCCTTGTAGGGCTCACGTTTTTAATTTGTCACTTCAATCTCTTCCAAACCATATATACAGTTGAAAAAAAGCCAGGAGAAAGCATTATGCAACTTAGTTTTAGTCAGTAATAACTCTGGTAGATGTTGTAGGAAAGGAAGTTTGAAATTATTCAGGAAAGTTAGAGTTGAAAATTACCCCCTTTCCCACAGGTATAATTATTCCTCCATAGGACAGATAATTCAGTTTCTCATTAAAAAGAGAATTTGCTGTTTATAAGCAATTTATCAATTCACTGGAAATAAAATTTCCACTTGACAAAACCTTACAGGTACCTCCAAAAATGATGTGCAGTGTAAGAGAGCATCTGTGGATGTTGTTTGCACAACATACACATGCAGATTACTTTCATCCAAGACTACGCTGATGAGTCTAATATCTGTTGCCTATACTTTTTGTTTCTTCTTCCACAACACTTGCAACTTACCTTGTTGAGGGTGATTACCTACTTTACGAATCACTTAAACATCCCTTTTAGAACAACACAGGATACGTATTAATTAAGTAAACAATAAAGAGTAATATGACCTTTCAGCATACACTTTTGAATTAATTTTATCTACCTATGACAGAGATGTTGAAAAAACTTAACAGTAATCACTTTCTGTATTACATTTCTTTAATGTTTATTCATTTTTGAGAGAGAAAGGGAGAGCCCATGCAAACAAAGGAGGGGCAGAGAGAGAGAGAGAGGGAAGCAGAAAATCTGAAGTGGGCTCTGCACTGACAACACACAGCTTGATGTGGGGCTCGAACTCATGCACCCTGAGATCATGACCTGAGCCAAAGTCGGACGCTTGACTGACTGAGCCACACAGGTGCCCCCATTTTACTTTAAATTTTTTATTGAGACAGAGATGATGCAAGTGAGTGAGGTCAGAAAGAAAGAGAGACAGAATCCCATGATGGGCAGACAGAGAGGGAGAGACAGTGAGAGAAGAGGAGCTCACCCGAAGCGGGGCTCGTGCTCACCCAAAGCAGGGCTCGAGCCCACCTAAAGCAAGGCTCAAGCTCACGAGATCATCACCTGAGCCGAAGCCAGATGCTTAACCAACTGAGCCACCCAGGCACCCACTTTACCTTTTAACCCCTGCATGTTAAGAAGCAAACGGAATCAATTTGGGGGAATTTTACTGTCTTGAGAAAAATGACCATTTTATAATCTGTTGGTAGATACACAAAGTAATATAAACTTTCCTGAGAACAATTTAAAAAATATGGATCAAAGACCTTTTTAAAAATTTTTATACTTTAACCAGATTATATTATATTGAAGAATTGATTCCAAGTAAGTAACCAGACATGTAGAAACAGATTTATATAAAAGACATTCCTGACAGCATTAATTAAAATACTGAAAGATGAAAAACAAGCAAAATTCAATCTCTTAAATAATGATGTTTCTTGGACTATGGTGGACTTTTATATGGCCATTAAAATTGTGATTTGGAATACACATTAAATTATTATAAGTATTCACTGTTAAGAACTTGCTGTGTTATTTCCAAGAATCGCACACCTCACAACACTAAACAAGAATTCTTTCCAGGAAAATCCCATAAGGTAAGTCAGCAATTACAAAACTGCCCCTACACATCTGTAGTATAAAAGGAAACAGTTGAAACATTTCCTTAAAGCCAAGATGCTATACCTCAAACTGCAGAATTCACGTTCCCATTCCACTTTTTGATGCTCTAACCGTGATATCATGTCTTTGGCTTCTCGTAGCTCGTTTTGTAGTGCACTAACCATTTTGTCCATTTTTGTCATTTTTCCTATAAGAAGTTTACAGTGATTTTTGTTAAGTTTCCTTAATTTCTCATAGGAAACATGTATATCTTGGATTTTCAAGAAGCCAGCATAATCTGCATCAGAGAAGAAACAGAAATAAAATACATGAGTACTTTTTGCATATACAGGCCTGTGCATCTTCAATTCACTCATTCACACATTGAGTAAATATATACCTTCAATGGAAGATGTTATACTCAGCTCTACAGATACAATAGAGAAGACCCCTGGCTCTTGATTAGCTTAAAGTCTAGTGAAAGAGAAAGACAACTCAAATGGTAATTCTAAATTCAGATAGTTCCTATTAGAAGACAGAGTTCTGTGATCATAACTTGATCTAGATTGGGCCCAAGGAAGATAGATGTCCCTGAGGAAGAGATAACTATACTGAGAATGAAGGATGAGCAGGAGGCAATTAAGCAAAGGAGGAAGACAAGCACTCTCGACAGTCTAGAACATGTGCCAAAGTTCCACTGTAATCTGCTTCTGGCCAAGATGGGGTAACACGTACTGATTGATCTTCCTACCTGAAGCAAGCAAAAACAGAACAGACAAAATACAATTTTAACATGATTTTCAAGACACAGAACTTCAGACAATGAAAGACAATGATCCCTGAAAACAAAACACGTTAGCCTAACACAGGCCCAAGCTCACTGCCTTGAGAGAGTTTTCAGGCTACGACACAAGATAAATAAATTATTTAAGTAGATTTCACCAGACTCCTTGAGTCGAGGTGGCAAAACTGAGAGTCTGGTGAAGTCAAGGCAGATAGAGATGACAGGTCAGCATCTAGGAGAGGAGAAAGCAGGACACAGAAAGAACCCTGGGCATCTGCACAGGGTCCCCTTTGGCTATTCAGCAGAGTAACAACCAGTGCATACATGGAAGGAAGTCATCAAGGGAAAAAAATTCTGAAAAGAGTAGAGGAAACACTGCCTGGTGCTCCCACAGCACGAGGGACAGTATCTATTCACATTAGCTAATATAGAAAAACTCATAATTTGCCTTAGGCTGATCACCACTCTGGATTCATCCAATAATTTGTAAGAGCAAGACTAAAGGATCCAACTGTTTGTAAGTAACTTAACTATATCTCCAAACAAAGCATGAAAAGATAACTAGAGGCATAAAAGCTATTGTTTTAAAAACCAAATAGCACTTACAGAGATGTAAATTATGTTAGCCATGAACAATACAATGGGTAGGAATAAACACATATTAGACATCACAAAACAAAAGACTGAAGTTTAACATTGGAAATCTGGGAGAAAACTTCAACTGGGAAATATACAATTTCCCAAAGAGGCAGGGGAAAGGGACAGGAAAAAAAAATGGCCCAAATGTTCCTAAACTTCATGAAAACTATATTCCCACTGATCCAGGAAGGATATGTCTAGGAAAGAAGAAATGGAAATCAACTCTTGTAATTTGCCTAAACTATATACGACGTGGTATAACATTACTGGAAGGGAGACTGCGATTCTGAAGCCATAGACTATAAACCCTAAACCAACCACTAAAGCAGCAAAACTGAAAAGTTCTAGCTAGGAAGCCTAAATATATAAGTGAATAAATGAATACATGAATAAATGAATACATGAATAAGTAAATAAATGGATAAAACTGAATCATAAAAATTCCTCGATTAAAAGAAAGTGGAAAAAGAAGAGAACGGGAACAAGGAGCAGATAGGACAAATGCAAATCAAACAGCATGATGACAGATTCAAATCAACTATCTCAAAAATCACAGTAAATGAAAACGGTCTAAAAGCCTCAACTAAAACACAGACTGTCAGAATGATAAAAAAAAAAGAAGACTCAACTATATACCACCTATACAAAATGCACTTTAAATGTCAAGACAGAAATTTGTTCAAAAGACAGAAATATGATATACCACACTAACACTTGACCAAAGAAGGCTGAGCTAGAGTGGCTATATGAATACCAGACAAAACAGTTTCAAGCAAAAAATTATTACCAGCAATAAACAACAGGTCATTGTATAATCATAAAAGGGTCAATTAAGAGCAATCTTAAATGTTCCTGTATCTGTTAATAGCTTCAGAGTAAATGAAGCAAAAATTGATAGAACTGAAAAGAGAAATAGGCAAATTCACAATTATAGTCTGATATTTCAACACGCTCAACATCAGCAGGGTATAGTAGAATTGGCCGCCACTATTCTTCTCAAGGATCTATGGAACACTTACCAAAAAAGAGTATGTCTTGGGTCAAAAATAAATCTTAATAAAAGGAAGAAGTCAAGAGGCCTGAAGTCATAATAGTGTGTTCCCTGACCACAAAGCAATCAAATCAGAAATCAAGCACAAAAATATCTCTGGAAAATACTCAACTATTTGTGAACTACAGAACACATCGAAATATCCCCTGGGTCAAAGAAGTAATGAAAAAAAAATTAGAAAGGATTCTGAACAGAATGAAAATGAAAACATAGTAGAATTTGTAGAGTCCTGCTTTAGTAGCACTCGCATGAAGACTGATAGCACTGAATGTATACATTAAAAAAGAAGAGCGAAGTGCGGTGCTTCTTGCTGCCTTTGTGGCTCCTCCCCCAGCTTCTCGAGCGCCCCGCCATGCCCCGACCAACCCTGGCAGTGACTGGAGAGCAGGTGCTTTGTTCACACGCGCACAGCAGGCACTTGGACGGGTGCGGGCGGGGTCCGCCCCCTACCGGGAATTGAAGGTGGGGGAGTAGCTGTAGGAGGCGACCCCCCTAGACTGAGGTGGGCCTGGGCTGGGCCCCGGGCTCTGCTGGAGCCGGAAGCGGTGGCGGTGACAGAGTCATGGGCCCTTCTGGAAGGGAGAGCCCAATGCCTGTGCACCTGTCTCCCCCTCCCTTCCTCTCCACCCCTGCCAAGAGTTGTGTGTTCTAGCTCCCCATCTTTTTCTCACTACCTACATCATCACCCTTCTTCTGACTTCGCTTCCCAGCTTCTTGCGACCGTTTCTCTCAAGCCTCAGTTACTCAGGCTCTTTTCACCCTAGTCCTGCCGGAGACTTCATATGCCAGCAGTCTCTTTCATGGGATGTCCCCATCCTTCCCCTCTCCCCACATCCTATTCTGGGCTGATGGCAGCCAGAAATCCTTCATATTGCGTTTACCGGCAGTTTCCACCTGGCCCTGAAGCTTGGCAAAGATCAAGTCCACCACACCCACACTGAGAAGGACTCCTAGGAGAACCACTTGTCCCATGGTGGTATTGGACAGTATGTTCTCGATTTTCCTCTGGTTGTTTATTTTAGTCTGAATATTTGTTACTCTCCACCACTATAATTTACAAAGGTATGTTTTGGTTGCATGACAAGGAGTTAGAAATGAGCCAGAGACCATTCGCAGGTAAGGAGAAGATTTAGACATTTAGTATTAAAGGAAGAAAGGAGAGGGGCGCCTGGGTGGCGCAGTCGGTTAAGCGTCCGACTTCAGCCAGGTCACGATCTCGCAGTCTGTGAGTTCGAGCCCCGCGTCGGGCTCTGGGCTGATGGCTCAGAGCCTGGAGCCTGTTTCCGATTCTGTGTCTCCCTCTCTTTCTGCCCCTCCCCCGTTCATGCTCTGTCTCTCTCTGTCCCAAAAAAATAAATAAACGTTAAAAAAAAATTTAAAAAGAAAGGAGAAACAGAATGTTAAGAAGGTTAGATTCTTCAAAGTATTTTGATATCTTTTGTGATCTGAGGAAGTGGAGATTACTGAACCTACACAGATTGACATTTTGGGAGAAAATTTCTTTATGCTTGATTCGCTCTTGGAGTAACGTGAACACAACTTCTCAAACCTGCATATTCTCTCAGTTGGAACCAGCTGTATATCTGAATGTTCACTTCCATCAGAACTTGTATAAGAGAAAGGATGGGAGTCTGTTTAAACAAAAATGACTACGTCCGGGACCTGAAAAGGGTAATTCTGTTTCCTAATAGTGTATATGGTTGGTTTAGTGGGCACAGATTAGAATTTTTACAGTTTACTTGGAGTATCCAGCACTGCAAGCAGTAGAGAAATAAGACAAGCTTTCATGAAATTGGCATTGAAGCTACAAACTGATAAAAAACAAAAAACAAAAATGAATAACCCGGGGCGCCTGGGTGGCTCAGTCAGTTGAGTGTCCAACTTCCGCTCGCTTGGGTCATGATCTCACAGGTTGTGGGTTGGAGCCCGGCGTCGGGCTCTGTGCTGATGGCTTGGAGCCAGGGGGTTGTTTTGGATTCTGTGTCTCCCTCTCTCTCTCTGCCCCTAACCCACTTGCATTCCATCTCTGTCTCTCTCAATAGTAAATAAACACTAAGTAAATAAATAAATAACCAACCAACCTACCAACCAAAGGATAATCCTAAGGTACAGAGTGATTTTCAAAAATAGAGCATATGAAGTACTCAAAGATGAAGATCTGTGGGAAAAGTATGACAATTACAGAACAAAGGGACTTGCAGATGACCCAGAAGGTGGCCCGTATGAAACCTGGGATTATGATCATTATGATTTTGATACTGATGATGATCCTGAAAGCATGACATTGGATAGAAGAGAATTGGATGCTTCTAATTCTGGAGAACTGTGGTTTGTGAACATTTACTAACCAGGATGTCACACTGCCATGAATTAGCTCCCACATGGAGAGACTGTGCTAAAGAAGTAAATGGATTACTTCAAATTAGTGCTGTTAACTGTGGTGATGATAGAATGCTTTGCTGAATGAAAAGAGTCAACGGATATCCCAGCCTCTTCCTTTTTAGGTCTGGAACGGCCACAGTGAAATATCCCAGGGACAGATCAAAGGAAAGTTTGGTGATTTTTGCCATGCAGCACTTTAGAAACACAGTGATGGACAGGAAATTTTTTTCACTCCATAGAAACTGCTTTTGCTGCTGGCATTGGCCAGCTGATCACTTTTTGTTGCAAAGGAGGAGATTGTTTAACTTCATAGACACGACTCAGGCTTAAGAGCATGTTGGATGGTCTTGTTAAGGTAGGAAGGATGGCCTGTGCCACCCAGGACAAACTTTGTAAAAGTCTGGATATTATGACAAGTACTACTGCTAATTATCCTCTGGCGCCACATTAAATAACAGAGAAAAACAGCATTTTGTTCCTTAATTCATTGGATCCTTGAGAAATATATTTGGAAATCGTTCATAGTCTTCCAGATTTTGAGCTACTTTTGGCAAAATCACAAACGGATCGATTCGTTCATCATTGGTGGCTCTTATCATTTAGTTTTGGAAAACATGAAAATTCAAATGATCCTGAGTTGAAGGAACTAAAATCTCTACTCAAAAGTGAACATATTCAAGTTGGCATGGCTGACTGTCCCCCTGCACCAGACATCTGTAGTAATCTCTCTGTATTTCAGCCATGTCTAGCAGTATTTAAAGGAGAAGGAACCAAAGAATATACTGTTGTAGTACTTGGGATACTTATAAAGAAAGATAGCAACAGAAAAATATCTTCACGAAAAATGGAAAACATATTTGGATCTACATACTTTCAGATTTTTTTCGTACTAACATTTCATCATAGGAAAACAAGTCACAGATATTCACTAGCTTAACTCTTCTGTAATTTTTATGCACTCCACCAGCAGAAGTCAAACTCATTAACTGTTTGCTCAGGTGGCACATTTTCAATAATACCAACACCATATTCCTTTGTTTTCATTGC